GGTACTATTGATTTTAGTTGACAACGTAAGGCCTGCAGTATTTTATATAGATTAATACAAATTTATTATGGATAAAAAATAATTGGATAGAAAGATGGAAAATATTACCGTTGAAAGATGAAACTTTGAGCCTACTGGCTAAGATCACAGGTCTTTTAACAATTCTTTCTGCCAGAAGAATGCCTTCTTTTTCTACGTAGCTATCCCACATAGTTAAGATTATTGTATTGAAGTTTTTATCAATTAATACAACATCTTGCACATATGTTTGGCTTCCATATCTTGTTTGAATAAGTCTTTTTGGCTTCATATCAATGGCAACAGCAAGGATGCCAAGATAGATATTATATATAATGACAANTCCGCAACTTTGTTAAATGTAGCATATATGAAGAAGGTACTATTGATTTTAGTTGACAACATAAGGCCTGCAGTATTTAATATAGATTAATACAAATTTATTATGGATAAAAAATAATTGGATAGAAAGATGGAAAAGATTACCGTTGAAAGATGAAACTTTGAGCCTGCTGGCTAAGATCACATGTCTTTTAACAATTCTTTCTGCCAGAAGAATGCATTCTTTTTCTACGTAGCTATCCTACATAGTTAAGATTATTGTATTGAAGTTTTTATCAGTTAATACTACATCTTGCACATATGTTTGGCTTCCATATCTTGTTTGAATAAGTCTTTTTGGCTTCATATCAATGGCAACAGCAAGGATGCCTTCTATCTATAATATATATTACTGTTATCAATAGATAATAAAACATATAACAAATGAAGGACTGAAAGAAAAATATAAGATATAGATATGGAAAAATCTAAGGATTAGAGAATTACTTATATCGTTGTTGCAGTCCATGTATTTTTCGAGTTGATCAAAATGGGTGAATGTGTATGTGGAGAACAGAAACTCCATATTATTCTCGTTGACTTTTTGGATTCGAGTTTTTCCGGTTATTGTCCATTGGAAGTCACCATTTAAAGCTCTGTACTCGGGTTTTGTATTCTTCACAATTGCATTGGAGATAAGATATGTTTTGCTTAATAAAAGCTTATCTTCAAATTCTGTAATATTATCATCATACAATGTTGTATGCACTTTGTTTCCCTATCATGAACAAGAAATAAAAAATAGAAAATGGAATAAATATATTAAGTGTTATTTTAATGTTTGATGGGTTATATATAGTTTACAAAGGTATTTACCCCGAAATCCATGAGGACCATGTTCTGATATTTGCTATTGCTATTCTTTGCTTGTTTGTGAGACATTTTCTCGGCAGCAATCACCTTTGCCTGCCAATTTCTTTTAGTTGGATTGATGTTTGAAATTAACTTGTAATTCTCAGCCATCTTGTTGAATTTGTTGAGTCTTCAAGAGAATTCAAAAATTGTAAGCAATATGAAATCAATGAATGGACAAATATTGAAAAGTTATGCATACCTTGGAAAGCAGAAATTTTTTCTTTCTTAGTGTAGAAGTATTTGTGAAGTACTAAAGTAAGCATATATATATAGAATTTTTTGTAGATATTTTTTATGTAGATAAGATCAGAGAA